GAAATATCTCTATCTTTACCTATAGATAAACATATACTGATTACATATAAATTTCAAGTTATAAAACTAATTATACATGTTATAAAACATTCAAACAACCCAGAAACAAATGGAGTAAGAAATGAAAGCCCTCTTGTACAGACATTAGGTTGCCATAACAAAGGTTGAAACAAGAAAGGCTTAAAGAAGATAGAATCATATCTCTCAGGTCATAATATGCAAGGTAGCAATCCTGGGTTGATCTGATGACTGTGTAGCGATCAGTTTAGGCTCTTTCTCTGTGGCTCTGCAATTCTCAGCACATGGCTTCCATCTTGGTCCAAGGTGGCTGTTTCCGTTTACCCCACTGTGTCCACATTCTAGCTAGCAAGAAGATGGGAAGAAGGAAGGGGCGGGAGGTCATGCTTCTTTTTTTAAGGTCACAACATGGAAGTCACATATGTCACTTCTGCTCACAGCCCATGACTGGAACTGAGATACATGGCCAAACTAAACTATAGCCAAAACTGGGAAATACAGTCCTCAGTTGGATAGCAATGTGCCCAGCTAAAACTTCTCTGTTATAGAATAGTGGTTTTCAAATTTGGCTGCACAACAGAATCACCTGGAAAACTTAAACAAATAGACACCTCCCACTCCACAGGCCAATTCAATCACAATATTTGGGGAGCAGGGCCTAGACTTCTGCATTTTTTGAAGGCTGTCTGGTGATTTTCATGTAGGTTAAGGCTGAGAACCACTGCTATAGAAGAAAGAACAGATGAACGGGGGACAACTAACAACCCCTATCACACTCATTTTCACTCCTCCAAAATTCTGTACCTCACACTCCCTCCCAATTTGTCACCCACTAGTTCAACCTACATTTTACCAGAGCTTTTTTTTGTGCATGTACAAGTACACACACATACATATGCACATGGTCTGTCCTGACACCCAGTAGTGACTCCAGCTTTTCTATATGGGTGTGTCTTGGAATAGTAATATTACAAGAAGAGGCATGAGCCTCTGTATTTGCATGGCACTTTACACTAATAAAAAAATATATTGTTTTCTTGGCTGGTTGCTGTGGCTCACACCTATAATCCCAGGACTTTGAGAGCCTGAGGCAGGGGAATCACTTGAGCTCAGGAGTTCAACACCAGCCTGGGCGTCATAGTGAGACTCCATCTCTACAAAAATAAAAAATTAGCTGGGCATGTTGGCACAAGGTTGTTGTTCCAGCTACTCAGGAGACTGAGTTGGGTGGATTGCTTGGGTCCAGGATTTCAAGGCTGCAGTGAGCCATCCTCTCATTACTGCAGTCCAGCCTGAGTGACAGAGTGAAATTCTATTTCTCTCTTTATCTATCTATATCTATATATCTATATTTATAGATATATAATTTTCTTATCTATATCAAAGAATGAGGGCTAATGAAGAATTTGTG